ACTGTAGCTTAAGGAGTCCAGACCACCCCTATCCACTCTTTAGGGATGAATTAATTCCCAAGGTTAGTGAATCCCACCTTCCTCTGTTGGATCATGCACCATTCATACTTGGATGCTTCTGGGGTGCTACCCGCGTAAGGCCTATCAACTACACTCTAAAGAAATAAGGAAGGAAGATGAGGAGAGATTCCCTAGCCCTCGAAACCTAATAGCATCGGGGTCAGAAAAAAACAAGGGTTGACCAAGGGAAGCCGATAGAATAGATGAAAGCATTGTGGCACAAGAAAGATGTCACAATGGTAGATGAAGGAATCATAACGATATGAACACATCGTTATGGGGGAAAGACAAAAAAGATAGGAAAGAATGCACGGATAAGATTGGGATGGATAGGATGTGGTAGAACACGACTTAGTCTGGCCCCTCAGTTTTGGCCTGTCCGGCATGGGTGACCCTACCAGTAGTCATGCGTCGAAAATAGTCATGCTACCGCCGGCTTAGCCCTCCACCTTACTGAAGCACACAAGCCTCCCCGCCCGCACGGACAGTGCTACTTCAAGGCGGTGTCCCCAGGGGAGGTTGGCGTTCATATTTGTGAACAAAAATCGTTTTGTTTGGCTATTATGGGGGCTCCTATCTGCCCCCACCCTCTTCGATTGGGCCGCAGACATCTACCCAGTTGGCCTCGGCGGAAGTCCTCCCGTGGTTCTGTCAAGCAGCACGGTAACGAGTTTTGGGGTTCCAGTGACGTTTCGTTGGGAAGAGTTAAAACATCCTGGGACTTAGTCAAGAGCCTTTCTCATTACGTGTTCAGATGTCTCACGTGTGTATCTGTTGTGTATTCAGGAGTAATCGGAGAGGAAAGCACCACAGTTCGTACAATTACCCAACACAGCGTGAATTAATCCTAAGAATACTCTCTGGAATGTTTTCTTCCATCCAGCGGAGGAGATACGTGCAGGCCTAAAACATGCGTTGCACTTACGGGACTAATGACCTTAGCAATCACTAAGGAATGAATTGTGTGCGCAGGGTCGCCGCCGCTGTGGTCGGAGACGCGCGTGCTGGTGCGCGTGGGCGTGGCGGGCAACCAACGGCCCGTCTTCCGCGGCAACCACAGCCCCGCCTCCGTCGACGGCGCCGCCGCCTCGGCGCCCGCCGCCTACCGCGCGGAGCTGCCCGAGAACGCCGCGCCGGGCGCCGTCGTGGTGCAGGTGGCGGCCAGCGACCCCGACGGCCAGGACGCCCTGCTCGCCTACCACCTGGTGGCGGGCGCGCGCGACAACTTCGCCATCGACCACAGGCGAGTCGCGGCGCGGCTTTGGACGATTGACGAGGTTAAAAACAGTAGAACATCGTCCATGTCTCACCAAGGTTCGAAACGAACCGACAGCCACTTGTTCGTGACTCGAAGAGTCAGTTCAGTGGGTGAAGTCGGTTTGGGATAGTTTTCTTGAGAGATTTACTTTGTTCCAACATCGCTAATCTAGGGGTGACATACTTTCTCGCATTGGTTCTAAAATGACAATTTCTGAATATTCGGAGAGCGCAATGAAAGTGAGACCTTCATCGTTCTTTTAATTGCTCCTTGTTCTATCCTTGGAAAAATTTTAAAGAAAAAAATTGAAGCTACTTCTGAGAAATGTTTTTTTTTTACAAAGTATATTAATTCACAACCCCAAATTACACAAAACTACTAATTTTTTCAAAAAATTTGTCATTGAAAAATAATGTAGTGTGCAAATAATTTATAATAAACCGTTGATCATTCTGTTGTGAATTGCTGTTTTGACAATTTTACAAGGCTTGTTTTGCACAAATCTGATGTATTCTATTCATTGTTATTTTTAATTCAAGTGTTAAGAATTATATACAGTTTTGTCAAAAGGTTTTTTTTATTCAGTAAGAAGGGCGACTGCCAATAAAATGAATATAATAGCCATGAGGGTAACCAAAATAATTGCAAATAATGGCAGAAAAATCTAGTATATAAATTGTGTATTTTTATTAAATATTAATGTCAGAGTTGATTCTTGTTCCATCATTTTAGTTGAGTTACTTCTAGAGTTTCACACTTTAACTGTTTCCATTCTTGTTTAGATCCGGAATTATCACTGTTGCACCCGATGCACACTTGGACCTCGAGACAGGGGTTAAAAAGTATGAAATAATTGTGCATGCTGTGGATGCTGGATACCCCATTCCAGAGACAGCAACTTCTACCGTAGTAGTCAACATTCTGGATGTAAATAACAAACCTCCTGTTTTCCCATCTACAGATCCTTTGATGTATGTACGCTACATTTCAGAGGCAACAGCTGTTGGTAAGTGCATTTGTTTTATCAAATGAGTAAATGTCAAAAGGCTGCAGTAGAAAATATGGCAACATTTTACGAAATATTTATATAATATCAAGATAAGGAGCAAATCAAATCGAAACACTTTGCATTTGAAGGAAATATAATATGGGTTAATATAAATGTTTATGATACAGCCAAGTACGAATTTAATTTGTGGTTCATATGTTTCTTAGGAGAAAACATTCTCAACGTCACCGCTTACGACCCTGACTCAGACGCGGAACTTCGATATTCAATTGTTGAGCCAATCCGTGCCACCGATCGCACTGGAGTGGCCCTCAAGTCCACAGTGCCGTTCAACTTCAAAACCGCTTTCGCCATCAACTCCAGCAGCGGCCAGCTGTCGGTAGCACACCAGCTAGAACACGAAGCAGCAGCTGTCATTGTGCTGACAGTGCAGGTGATTATCTGTACTCCAAAGGAAGGAATTCCCAAAAGAAATCAAAAATGAAATCACTTCAGTTTGAGGATGGTAGGGTGATCACGAGAAGAGAACGAAGATGAGTAATGCATGCTTAAGAATAAGACAACGCTTTGTTTGGGATATGTGGAGGTAGGTGAAGCCACTCACGTTACAAACAACAGGGCCTGCGCCACGCTAACAGTACGGTCTCTGGACTTGCATGCAAAGTGTGCATTAAGTCACCAAAACAATAAACTTAACTCTACTGATGTCACTGCAATATCCTGCTCTCCCCTTGTGCTAGAACTCATGGTGGTCGATACAGAAACCTGAGTGCCAACCAGCCCCAGTCACCCCTCATGGTAGAACTCAAAGATGGGAGCCAGAGGAATAGAACAATAAGCACTCACCCCTACACGAACCTTCTTAACATACGTGCTCTCATGCATTTTTCAGAAGAAACTTTCTTTGTAGTTAATAAACTTGAATCATGGCATTAGTTTTAATGTTCGAGAAATATTCTTACGTGTCATCATTTCGTGAGTTGTGATATGACTAGAATCATTGTGGAGGTTCAGAACAAAAGGCCAGATGGGCACATTTTTCATTTTTTCAAGGAAATAAGTAAAACTTAAAAGAAATGCTTTTTAAAAAAAGGTTGTTTTCTTGGATATTTTAGTTGATATGTGGTGAATTTGACGTATGCATAAGTAAATAATACTTCTGATCAAACAATTCGGGAAAGGAAAATTTAATGAAGATTCAGCCTTATATTGTCAACTGCCACAATTCATTTGAATTTCAAAATTTCTCCGAAATCTTTATGCACTCTTCTTTTCTTTATTAGGCCGAAGACTTAAAAGGATTGGCAGAACAGAAAACCACTGTTGAAGTGACTGTACACATTCAAGCAAACGATGACGACAAGCCGGTGTTCACAGTTGGTGGATGGACTCCCTCCAAACCGGTGATTCACGTAACGGTACCAGAAGAGCGCCCTGTGGGGACCGCCCTGCTCACGCTGGCTGCCCAAGACCCAATTCGCAATGTGCTCATAACAGACTTCAAGCAAGTAGAAGAAAACGATATCAGCACGCAAGATTATTTTATTGTTGGTGCTCAGTCCGGAGATGTTGTTTTAAATAGACGTTTGGACTATGAAACGTTGGTAGAGAAGGTAAGTGCTCTTTGCAAAGAAAGAGCGCACCTACTTTGCGTTCACCAAAAACTTTATTTTGACACATTTTTATGTAGAATACAAACTTTGATGATACAATTTTATATCAATTAATTAATAATAGATAATGATACGTAAACAAATTATTTGTGTTTTCATTTCCAGAAAATAACATTGAAAGTTAGTGCAATATCTATGGATAGAAGATCTAGCAATGCTGTTATCATCATCGATGTTGAAGATATTAATGATAATAATCCTCAATTTACACAAGAGGTAAGAGAATTTTGAGACAAAATAACAGTAGAATCATTGCTAGTAAAGGAGGCTGTGAATGAAAGTATTTTAGAAAATAGAATGTCTGCCTGTCAGGTTTAATAATGCATTCATAAGCAAGAATTTGGCATTTGACTTTTGTATATCAGCTTTGTGATGCTTATGACTATAAAGTAAGAACCATTGTGTTGTATTTTGAAGAAAATTAGATGAGTCATTTCCTGGAAAAAGTAGGTCATCAAAACGTGGCCTACCAGATTTCACTAAATTTTTACTTTCTTGCCCTTACTTTGTAAGAGGAGGAATATATTCTTATAAATTTGTCTGGATAGAAATTAGAATGTAGAACAAGTTTTGAATTTTCGCAACTTTCAAACAATTAGGATTTTCAACGAAAATGCAACCTGCATATTTGAATAAATGTTCTTCATACTACTGAACAACATAATTTAATAAAAAATGTTGAAGATATTTTTTGTTTATTTTTTAAATGTCCCAGGGGCTTAATGTAAAGAAAAAGGAGTAGCTAAATTTTCCAATGCTTTAACATTCCTTAATTTTTGTAATTTATTAAGCAAAATTAGCGTCTGTTGCAAAATTAGTATAAAAAGTATTCCATAGCTATTCTTTTAATGCAAGAAAGTACAAGCTGTTTTAGCACCTCTAGTTTATTTGTGAAATATAGGGAATTTCTAAACAATTATTTTGTCAAAAACGGTTTCTAATATTTTCTTTAACGTTTTCTTCATTAATAGCAAAGGCTGATAAAGCAACTGATGCTGGTTCCACTTCTGTACTTTTGTGTTGTTAATTATTTGCATTTTTGGAAATTCAGTGAGTTTGCTGAAAATGAGCCAAGTACTAGTTTTTTACTGAAATTTTACATGAGTAGAAGTCTCCCTACACAGTCACTCATTAACTGCACCAGGTATACTAAGACAGTCCCAAGGGAAGCTAGAATGCGCTCATAAATTTGAACGTTATCTTTCCCTAACACTCTCCAACATACAGAAGATACAATGTACAGATCTAGGTAAATATAAAACATTTTAATAACATTTTCAATATGTTCACAGTGAATATTTATTTTATTGTATCAGAATTTGTGAACTTTCCTCATTTCATTAGTCTTTGAGAAGATATACTGATCAATGATTTTGGAGTTTTTGATTATCTGAATACTGAAAATGTAGAACTTTCGTAATTTTTCTATAGCCCTTCCTTTAGTTCAAAGTGATCACAAGATTAAATCATGTTTAGTGTAATACTGCAAAAATGAGTTCCACCAAAGATGTTGAAAGGTTGAATAACTGTAATTAGCACTGCTGCACCGCCAATCAAATCCCCATTCCTTGCGTGCGCTGCAAATCCTCCTCTAATTGTCAGACTGTTCTTTTGCAACACCTTGATTAATTAAATTTTCACTTACACTAGGACAGAATGAAAAATATTTAAGTAGCAAAGAAATTCAATTCACTGGTAAATTCTTCACCAAAAAAAAATTACACATGCATTGTGCTGGAAGTCTTCTAAAGATTACACCTTTTGTATAGACAGAGCATAAAAAATGGATTATGAAAACCTATTACTTTATGGTGAAAAGGACAGTGGTTCAGCCAAGTGTAAGTCGCAACAAGTCAAGTGAACAATAGGCAAAACTTACCATACACGAAATGAATGATGTCATCTTAAGGCTAGAAAGTAAACACTACACGATTAGAATTAAATCGCAGAGACTTATTAACCTACCCTTGATTTATAAGTAGCTGTTCTAACTCCATTTTTTTTATTGATATTCCTTTACATAAACATTGGACTATTTATTTGAAACATCTTTATGATTGATTTATCAATCTCTTTTGCAGATGTATTCAAGACAAGTGCCAGAGTCCACTAAGTATCCTGATCCAATTTTAGTTATCACTGCTACAGACGGTGACACTGATTCTAATTCTACTGGGTTCGGAAGCATTAGGTATTCCCTGTCAGGAGAAAATGCAAGATTCTTTGTCATCAACAGCACTTCAGGGGTGATCTCTGTGGCGGCCAACGCCTCCCTGGACCATGAGCGCCACTCATCACTGCGCTTCACCGTCGTGGCTGCAGACACGCCCCAGGGTGGTGCCAACCAACGCCGCTCCACTGCCGAGGTACTCCACACCTCTCCCACGGGCTTGAGCTCCCATGAGGCACATTCTCCCCACTGGCAGAAATTGTCACATTACTTTAATGAAATGTACATTATCAAGAACGCACATTAAATTTAAAATACGAATGTACATTAGGATGAAATAGTCCAAGCTTTACAGTCATACCTGGAAAAAATGAATGAACAATCTTCATGGACTGGTGATTATAAATATAGGATATAAATGATGAGGGGCAGGGGAAATGGGAGAACCTCTACAGTAAATCTATTGATTTTAAATTATACATTAAATTGAATGTACATATATATTAAGTTTTTTAATGTGCAAAGTTATATTTTCATGTATAAGGTCACATTTTTGAACATTAATCTACATTAAATTTAATGACATTTCTTTCAGTGTATAAATATATAGCTAGATCGAATCCAGACACGGTCTGATGCATTGATTCTGAGCACATTAATTGCTAAGGTCATTAGTCTCTAAGTGTAGTGCAGTTTTTTCTCAGCAAAAGGTGATGGTGATCTTCCCTGCTGGATGGTGAGATCTGGTGCTGACCTACTTGTCAGCTGTTTTTTTGCCAACCAGGTATTGCCAACATGCTCTAAGCTCTCAAAAGTCGTTGGAATCAACTGGTTGCATCCCGCGATCAGTTTTCTTTCATTGTTAAGTTTCATTATTCTTTTCATACCCAGTTCATCCCTCTTCACTTTGGGCTACCTGAGAAGGCATAGCCTGATTGTATCCTGGTCGATTTTTCAGGGAGGGGGAAACAGTGTAGTTAAATTTTTATTTAGTGCAAATAGATGTTCTCGCATTAATTGAGAGAATACCACAAACATGTGTTGTGAAAGAATTATCAGAACTGTGTAAGTTATCTAACTAAAACATAATTATTGTAATTCAGCTTATTTTAAGGGAAGACCATGACCTCTTGACCCGCCTCCTGGGAACAGCCCATGGTATTCTTAGACATCAGTTTAATTAAATTAAGATTATTGATAATAGTTTAATTTTGAATGTCAAAAAAACCGTGTGTAATATAATGATCTTCAAAGCACCTAGCCAGACTCTTCCTTGCATTCATGAGGAAAGCTGAATGGGATGCAATCGGGCTAAACCTTTTTGGAGAAGTACTGTGTAAAAGGCTTAGTTCAATGCAGTGCAGGCCAATGCAGATTTAAAGGATGCTGGATGGCTTTTGCCAAAGCTTCAGTTGTGATTATAAAAGTAATCTTTATGGAACAAAAACATTAATTAGCACAAAATTACAGTGTTGTAAAATGAAACTAATCAGTTGGTTGTTCATTACTTATAATTCGGAACCCTGAATGCAAAAATAGCATACATGTGCCTCAGAATAAATGTTTCAAACTTCTAGGGGTCAAACGTTAAACCTTTTTCAAATTAATAGGGAAATCTCAAATGATGCAGTCATTCATGTGAGATATGCCTCTAATTGGTAGGCAACGTATCTTGCACTGATGTTTGGCTGGCACACAAAATCTACATTAGAACGTAATCCTTTATGAAGCAGCAAATTATAGGTCACTTTTGCCCTGAATGTAACCCAATAGAGATGATTACTTCAAACTTCCTCCACAATTCTAATTTTGACTGTGAATGTAACTCATAAACTTTAAAAAAAGTAAATTTCTGATATTGAAATTTTATGTCAGAATAAATGAAATCACTTTTTAAGAAATGGATATAAAATGATGACAAATTAATACATACCACAGTACCTAATCAATGTATATTTGTTTATGTTCTAGGTATTTGTAGATGTTCTTGATGTCAATGACAATGCTCCATCTTTTGGTCAAGAATCCTATTCTGCAGTGATACCAGAAAATGTACCTGTTAATACAGTGTTGCTGACAGTGAGTGCAACTGACCCTGATGAAGGAATGGGTGGTGTGGTTAGCTATGAATTTTTGGATGAAGGAGAAGCTAATGGTAAAAATTATTTCTAGAAAACTATTTTATAATGCCTAAAAATCACAAAGGAGGATTTGACAATCACATCTTTATTCTAAGCCTTTCACATAACTTTGATTTTAAGAGGGAAGTTAATGAAATGAATACCTCCCAGATCAATCTGGTATTGTTACTGATCTGTGAAGTTACAGTGACTGTCTGATTATTATTACTTTCTCAAAACTTGTTCTTTGTGATTCACAACTGAACCTTTTACTAAACTATTAAATGTGTTGTTGAGCCTCTTCAAAATATCAGTTGCTTAGAGATGGATTGAGTTGTTTGAATGTTTTTATCTTTTTTCATCTTCATAAAGGATAAAAAACCCAATGGAAACAAAATGTTTCTAAATCTAATTTCCAAAGGTTTACAATATGTTCATTTGGTGTTAAATGTCAAAATACTGTGCTACTGTTATTGTTTTTTGTTTCTCTTACAAATCTTCTCTCAAATATTAAAATAGAAATCTAACTTAAACAAGTTTTTATTACTCCCATTTGTTTTTGAAGGGAAACAAAATTTTTTAAGAAAAAATGTGCAGCCATATTGAGGAAATTATTTTTTTGATCCAAACTACTATGCAGTAGCAATCTCTTTAAAACAAATACCATATTATTTTTATTATTGGCCATATTTGTAGCATATGGCCCTTATACATGATAACATTTATTGTTTATATTTCAATTTTTTATTTTGTTTTGTTGCCTTTTTAACTTAAATATATTGTAAACCCTTGATTCTTTTGTTATTGTTTTTAGGTTTATTTGTCATAAATAAGACTACTGGCCAAATAATCACCCAGAAACCTTTAACTGGGAAAGGGAGAAATGAACCGTATAATTTGTTACTGCATGCTCAAGACGCTGGAGAACCTTCATTATCTTCTGATGTATCTCTGAGCATATATATTGGAGATGTTTTCAGTAATGATGGAGTTCCTACCTTCATTCGCCCATCTCTGACTGACATAGCTCAAATATCTGAGGTAATAAAAACGGGTCTGATCCCATATTATAACGAATCAACACTAATGGGAAAGGGAAGAAGCCACGGTGTAAGAAATATTTCTTACCCCCTGGAAGGAGCAGTAAGGACAAAAGCATCTGCTTAATAGTTCAAATGAGAATTACATGTTTTAATTTATTAAAAATATTATATTGGCATATAATGCATTGAAAAGTACATTGCGCAAACTCTAGGATTTTTGTATTAATTGCAAAGGCCAAATGCCGAAACCTCTTTACAAACTTTGATACACATAGCAAAGCGTCAAGCTAAAAGTGTGTGTGTGTGTTTTTTCTTTTCTTAATTTGTGGTGTCTCTTTTAGAACACGGCCCTTGGTCCTTCTTGTGCATTGAACGTATAATCTCAAGAGTAATCCTCTGTTAAGTTTGTGTCGTTTTGTCTCATAAACTCACAGACAGTCGATGTCTTTTATCCCTTTGGCCAGGAGCACCATTAGCAACTGAGTCTCTAGATGGTCACCCGCCTAGAAATCCATGGTAACAAGTTGATTCACTTCCACAACTTCACAGAGTGTAGTTAAGCAATTTGACTAACAACGCCAGCCAATATAAAAAAAATGCACTTGAGAAAGTGCAAAAGAAAAAAATGCTTTGGAAATTGTGCATTGGACAGACTCAGGAGTGTTTTAAGTTACTTGCATAGACCATAGAAGGAGCCTCGTCATAAAATTAGTGACATAAATTATAAAAATTAGCATCATAAAATTAGTGACACGTAGCAAAGTGTCACCGCAGCATAAAATTTTAAATATCACACCATTCCACTTGCAGGCTTGAGATGTCATTGTAGAAGTGTGCTGATATCTCATTTGTTACAATAAGGGAGAATAGCTAAAAAAATTTATTTGTGAAAATATTAAAATTTGTTATTCAATTTTTGAAAAAAGTAACTTTTTGAAATTAACATAAATTATTACAATGTTGTGTGTTACTATGATATAATCTGTGATCAGAAAGTGATAAATCCTGTTCTTTTTACTCATTAGTTTCTTTGACTCTGAGATTTTAAAAAGCTAAATAAATCAATTGCTTTGAAACTATTTAAGTTTTATAGTTGGGCTGTTCTGTAACATATTATTAGATTTTAATTTTCGTCCCTTTACATAATTTAATTTTTATTTTTTTATGATATCACTTTTCAGAATTCATCAATTGGTTCTCCTGTTTTTCAAGTTGTGGCTGTTGACCCTGATGCTCCAAATACTCCGAATGGAAAAATTATTTTCAAATTTCTTGAAGATGGGACAGATGCACTTGCATTTAATATTGGTAAAATATTGAATTAATATTCTTGTTTAATTTTCATTCTAATATGGAAATATTGGATTGAATATTTTAATATATACACGGACCAATTGTCAAATCTTTTTCTCACATTCCTTCTGCTGTCTTCACTCATAAAATTTTATTTTCCCATTATTATTCTTACTTAAACTTTTTATTCTGTGGATTTTATGTTTTTACTGTTTTTACTGTCGTAAAAGATATTTCATTTATATTAATGCAGTATTGTTCTGTGATGTTTCATGATTATTAGATGAGGATTCTGGGCTTATTAGCACAAAGAAATTACTGGATAGAGAAGACCGTGAAAATTACACTTTAATTATTGTGGCACAAGATAAAGGCTCGCCTCCACAACGAGCCACTCGTCTATTGAATGTGCGAGTACTGGATGTGGATGACCACACACCCCTCTTCCAGAGATCATTGGTATGTCTGCATAATTTATTCAAAATGTTCAGCGTAATGTGAGTTATTGATTGGCTGCATGTGATTCAGAATGCAAATCACATGCAGCCAGATATATTGTGGTCATCTAATGCACAAGCTCTAGCTCATTGACTCCAACATAGGCTGAAATATTGGGAATTAGCAAAGCAATGATTTCTTTCATTTGGGCCTTTCTTGTATTACCTATACAAGATTTTTTGAGCCCTCATTTCGCAGGATGTGAGAGGATTGGGGGAGCATTGTTTATGTTTACGGCAGGACTATTATATCAAATTTTTAGCTTGTGTTTTGATTCAAAATGGCTTCAATTACACAGAAGTGAACATTTCTGTTTATTAGATTTTATTAACAATGCTAATTGGTATCTTTTATAATCAATCCCACTAATGTTTGTAAAGGAATGGGAGTAGGGAATTTGGGGTCAAGAAAACTTGTGCGAATAATATTGCTGTTCCCTGTCTGAGCAATTAGATATGATAAGGACAAGAATTGTTGGAAGATTGAATTTGGTTAATATCCTTTTACATACTGTGTCGTAAGTATTACTCAGCAGCAAATGATTTTTAAGGTCTTCAATAATCCACTGCACTAGCCAACCAATTCCTGGTTCAGCAGTGGTCTTAACCAACGAAATGGGATTATTTCATTTCTATTTCTTGTCATAGTTCCTTGTTGATTGGTAGAGCTCCTTTACTGCCATCTTGAAGCTTCTCTGCTCCATGTCCAATTTTATGAATTCTTTACGATTTATATCTTACTTAAGAGAACTCATTCTACAAAGTCTGCCTGGCATTTGCCACTGTTCAACCCTGGTTCATAAACTTGGTTCATACGACTAACTTTTCATACTTTAAAAAAATATATAGTTTCTAATTGTGATATACATCTGACATGACCATCACTCCCAAGTATACCTTCAATTCTCTCCTTCACTAACTACAATGTTCCCCTTTAACTACCTATCAACTTTTCTGTCCAGAAGATTTTCAAACGAGTACCTTGTTCCTTGTTTTGCACAGATGTATTCACTTATATTTTCCTTTGCATTTTCATGGTCTTTGTATCTAGCATTCCTAAGTACGTTGTTTATCTCCAATTACTTATGTAATTCTACACTTCTACTTCTTGTACACCAAAATCACTTAGTACATCTCCAAATTTTGATAACATATTCTCTATTTTATCATTGTGCTAGTTGCACTTACAACATTTATTTATTTTATTGACAACAACTATTTTATATGTTGTATCTGTGGCTTTTTTTTTATTCATTCTTATCATGTTTGTAGTAAAAACCTAAATAATTTCCATAATTTCATAGATTCAATGTCAGAAATGATTCATCTCGTATAGTAAATATAGTTTACGAGTATATAGTATACATAGTATATTTAGAATATATATTCCATTATGTAGTTTCAAATATTAACAATTATAACATTAGAAATCATTAAGAATTTTGACAATATATTTTTTTCCTGAACCAAAGCAATTATTTACATGTATTTTTAATTCCTTACAGGATGATGGACCTCTCCTTATGACCCTAGAAGAAGAAGTAGATATAGGAACAAAAGTAGGATATATAGAAGCTATTGATAAAGACAGTGGGGAAAATGCACTCATTGACTACTCTATTATCGGTAAGGTGTTTTGTACATTTTGTGGAGAGATACATTCTTGCGAAAGAATATTTTAATACAATTGAAAATTCTTTTTTTAGATGGAAATGAGCTTGGACTTTTTAATATAAGTCGCACAGAAGACAACAAAGGCTTGTTAACTGTTGTAAAACGAGTAGATAGGGAAGCTACAGCTGAGCACATTCTCACTGTGAAGTGTTTTAAAAAAAATTTGCATCTTTCTGGCCTTCGGAAAACATACAATCGTCAGGTAAAATACAATAAATTAATCTTATTTTATAAACCCCGTTTAAAAGAATTGCTACAAGAGATCATTTTTAATTTCAACCTTCAGATTAACAACTAAAACACAATTGTTGCTTTTTCATATAGTGTAATCTCATATGAAAAATGTACAAATTTTCATTTATTCCATTTTGAATATAAGTGAGAGATTTTGGCTTGTGACTGTAATGTAGGTTAGTGCACTTAGTATGTCAAGAATATATATTTACAAACTTTTGACTATCTTATTCTTTTCTCCATTTTAAAAGACAAATGGGCAGTATTTTATAATAGAATGATGAGAAAACAATCAGGAAAGAGGATTAAAGGAAAACAACTGAAATGCTTAACAATTGCATTGTACAAAACAAGACCAAATTTTGAATTTTCAAAAAAGAAAGCAAAAATTATTTATCAAGTTAATAGTGTTAACGTCTTTAAGTGTTTTCAGACTAAAAAAATATTGAATTACAAATTTGGAAATGTTAATACTTAAATATCTGTAAATAATTGAATTAAAAATTAACTATTGTAAGAGTATTAATAAAACAATTTGCCTGATTTATTGCCATTGAACTGAATACATTCCTGTATGCAACATTTTTGGATTCATCATATTTAATTTAATTATTCGTGTATTGTAATTGCAACAAAACATTCTTAGTTGTAATATACAGTGTTTAAATACATTTTAGGACACTCAGAAAAGATGTATCTCTCCAATGGGGATGCTTTACGAAACATTTTTCAGAAACTATTAAAGCAATCTCCTTCAATATTTTCCCTAAAATCGATATTCTTGACTGATCATCCTTTCAGAGTGCCCTTAAAAAAACATCATCACCATGAACCAACCAGAAATTAACAGCCTGTTTCTATGGGTTTATTACAATATTCTTGGAAGATAATTAGCCTTCCAAGTGCTCCTGCTGTTGCCACCTCTTTAGTGGTCAGTTGTGGTAGTTGCCACCTCTATCTCTGATCCCTCTTTGTTTTTACTTCCAGATTAATTTTGGCTATGTTTTGTTGTTTGTTATCTGTAAATAATCTTCCCATTTACATAATAAAACATAATTAAGAATATTTTATTAAAAAATATAACTGTAATGTTCAGACATTCAGAAAATAGTAATTTTTTTTTTAATTCAAAGAGCTAATTAACGAAGAAAAAAAAGCACTTTTTGTCCAAGGCCTCGGGCATCTGCAAATTATGCTTCTTGTGAAATTTGGCATTGTATTTCATTAAGATTGGATTGTAATTACACAGAGGTCAAACACTGGGTCAAATTTGTAGTGCTTCAAAAATTAAAAGGCAAATAACAACTTCATTTATATTTTTGTAATCAATATGATCAATTGCTGTAATTGTAATTGTAATTGCAATTATAATTATAATGATCAATTGCTGGTGCATATTTAGCTGTCGATCCCCAGTTGAACTCTTGTTCATCATTGATCACCTTTACAAATTTCATTGACCACCAGGGGATTGATATTGGGACACACTGCACTACACTAACATTCTCCTATTTTACTCACTTTACACTACTTGACAGCTTAATGCTGCCTTAATCATCCTTCCTCACTATGAAATTTATGCACAACCCCATGTACTATACTTTGAGGAGCAACTGCTCAAATACTACACTCCATACAAGCTTACAGCAAGAATGTGTTAACTCAAAATGTGCATCTGCACTTCCATTGAACGTTTTGCTAGTTGCCATTTCTCAGCACAGAATGACCCAACTAAAGTTAAAAGTTTGAGTTATAACATTCTTTCCCTAAGCCGTTGTGGAGTTAATACATTTTGAGCAGATATTTCACATTTTAATTCATAACTTTTGTTCATTAGTACATATCAACTCTAACACACCATGTAAGTGGTATCTTAGTAGAATTTCTCATTACTAAATGAAGATTTCAAGAGAAACTAATCTTTACTATACTCACTATGGATACAATAATTCAAATTAGTTTCCCTTAAATGATAATTTGAAAAGATTAATGTGTACATGCATACTTAAGTGAGGAAATTGTTTCAGGATCCATCAGAAATTCAAGTTCATATAAAATTAGAGGACATTGATGATAATAAACCAACTTTTCTGCAGGATAATATAACAGTTGGTGAGTGTCTCATATTTATTTATAAGAAAGATTTTTCTTATAAATAGCAAGTCTTGCGTTTCTTTGCATGAGTATTCTCATGTTAATTGAGGTCCATCTAGACCAGACTGTTATATTGCTTGACATCTTCATTGAACACCATTGATCATTAATATGCAATTGAAAGTAACCAACATTTACTTCAAAATTGTCAACTTTCATATCAAAAAAGAAAAAAAGAAAAAAAAACAGAAAAAAAATAAAATGTTAACATTATTTAAAGTAATATAATTTATTAACTTCATGCAGTTTAAGTGCATTATCTATTTTCTGTTGTCTTTGTTCTTTACATTTTACAGTTTGTCTTTACATGCATTGTCCATTAGAGTCTTCAGAAATGCAAAGTCTTCAGGAAAAAAAAATAAAAATAAAAAAAATAAAAAAAAATAAAAAAAAAATTAAAAAAAAAACACGTCCATTAATCTGTGAGAATTTTATTTTATAATTAATACAAGATATATCAAAATGTGTCGGTTTGTTTATATCTCTTTGACAACTGTCTCATTAAAACCACATCAGATGTGGTCTGCCAGCAAGAATATTTGCTGTTAATTTCTCACATTGTTTGACATAGTGGAACTAGATAATTGTAATTTACGGTATAATGAAGTAAAATTGGATTTTATTCACTAGACAATTAGGTGGAATTAGGTGCCTTAGATCTAAATCTCCTTAGGATCTAAATTTTGGGACCTGTAAATAAAACCTTGTATTACTGACTTGTACCAATTAAAAGCATTATGTTCTCAAAAATTAAAATGAATATTACCATCTACACTGTTTATTAAGTAATGCTTAATTTTGACTAAATGACATCAGAAATAAAGTAAGTAATCAAATCTTTATCTGTTTACAATGAAAATAATACAAAATTAGAAAGAAATGAGTGAAATAAATACAACATTGCATAGATCAAGAAATTATTAAGAACGTGTTGATTCACAAGATAAAGTTCTAAGCATATCAACACCATCATATTCAGGCCTTGAGCCATTTCCTTTTTAAAGAAAGCTTCATTTTAATTTTTATGAACATATAATCTTGCTAATGATCCCCATCCAAAGTATTCAATTTTATGTACTAGTTAATAATGTAAAGATGCTTACCAGTATATTGGATGAATATATTTTTATTACATACTACTTTATATTTCTCCTTAAGATTTTTTGCACAATGAATTTTATGATTATTGAAACTTCAGAAATGAAGATTTTCTTGATATACACTTAAATTTCCAATTATCATAAGGTTTATAAATCATCTCTTTGTTTTTTAATTCCTAATTCCTCCATATTGTTTGTTTGTTGAACAATTTACCTCCCATAAATGGTTTCTATCTCCATTAAATGATGTAATTAGTCACAAATGTTTCTCAAATTTTTTTCATTGTGAGCAATGTTTGATGTCTTGAGATTCTTATTCATGTACTACGACATTTGTGTATTTTTAATCTCTGCTTTGATATTACTGCAGGTGTGAGGCTGAATGTCCCAGTAGATACATCTCTGCTGAAATTGGAAGCCATTGATGTAGATGAAGACCCTGCACCAATTATGTACCATTTGTTGAACACAACTTTCTACTCACTTGCTGTATCTGTTATGGATATCGTTAGTGTGCCTGCAGATCATGAGGGAGCCTTTCAATTGAACAATATTACTGGAGATCTACATACAGCAGGCAGTATGTTGCCTTATGCTGATGGTTATTTCGATCTTCATATAATGGCAAACAATACAGACATTCCAGGAATGGAGGTTTATGCTTTAGTGAAGGTAAATTTCTTTGTGCAAAAGTAATTGCCTTTTGAAATGAAATTTTGTATTTCAAATACCTTTTATAACCATAAATGTCAATGTTTGATTGACATACAGCTAGTCTTGATTTGTTCAGATTCTTAAGAATGTATTCAAGAGTTAACAATATTAAATATTGGCATGTTTGATCATGATATGAATCAACCTAAAGTGCTATTCAAATAGGGCCCAAATTCAAAAGAAAATGCTAGGCTAATGCTAAAATTGTCTATTTAAAACAAAATTGTTTAAACAAAAGAAAGTGAATATGAAAGAAAATAGCAACTATAGCTGTTAATAACTCAATATCACTTACTCCAAAATAAACCAAAACAGGACAAGAGGAAGCATTTGGGGAAGATGGAGACATACATTTGCTGCCAACATGGAAGGTGTTGAAGTACAATTTGTCTAAGAATTTCAAAAGTTGTTTAAGAGGAATTTTGGTTAGCATGATATTTTCACTTTTATGCATTCATTTAACTTGAATTGTTTGTCAACCATGGTGGTTATCTATTTATTAACATACTTTTTGGATTGGTTTCCTTGAGGAATTAAAGATGATCAATGCCTTATGAATTTATTTCATTACTTTTTTAAAGATCACAACATTTTGTGGCCAGTTGCGGCCACCTCAAAAGGTGACAATCTAAAAATAATAGGTCTAAAAATAGTATAATAAAATGTAATGAAAGGTTAACTTTCTTGACAACAAATTGTAGAAAAGTTGATAATTACAGAAGAAATACTCAAGGAAGAAGAATAAGGAAAAATGTTAACTCACCTCCAAAAATGAAAAACAATATAAAATTATGGGAACAGGGAGTAATTTTAGAATATTATTTTTTGTGAGTAGTAAGTCATTATGAATACAACAAAGCAGTGAAATTTAATTCTTACAGATCAGAAGGTTTACTCGGCGTTGATTCCACTGGTATTGGTTGGACAAGAAGCATATGAATAATTATTAGAATTCAGACTAGATTCCATGGATTCATGAGCAAACACTTAAATTGTAATGGTCATTGAATTCACAGATATTTTTTGAAGATTCTATCAATTGTTCATATCCTTCTTGTCCAAACATGTCTTCAATTCCATACAGATACCAACCCTAAAAATTATGCATTCATTGTTTCTATTCATCCATTTAGCCATTCCATCCATCCATCCATCCATTCATTCATTCATTCATTCATGTTGTAGGTATTTGTGCTGAGAGATCGTGATTTACTAAAGTTTGTGTTCAGCAAACCACCCACAGATGTGCAACGTGATATATCAGACTTCCAACGAGAAGTTGAAAAAGCACTTCTGCTCCCAGTTTCATTGAATATTTATGATACACAATTTTATGCAAAAGAAGATGGTAGTCTAGATTTTAGTAGTACCAGGTATGTATTTATCCACTATGGGAATTATATCTGTATCAGAAAATTGCAATAATTTGAAAGAGATTCTTTGTTTGGAATCAATTACAAGAGGACAAACCCATCAAAGTATGTTTCTTTATTAAGAGCAACAGGAGCATAGAAAAGGCACAGAATAGACTTAGAAGTCACACCTTTCTTCCCTACTGATATATGCTGCTGTTTGTAGGAGTATGATGGTACTATTTTTAGTTCAAATTTAACTTTTTATTAAGTGTTTTTTATTGATTGCTGTGATACTCCATATCAACATGGAAAAAACATACTAAATGTCTTTCTAGGAAACTTTTTATCTTTTTAAATTGCACAATTTTAAAATTAAGAATAACGTATATCTTGTTGTGGCTTGATTGGAATGTTCAATACTAAATAAATCACAGATTTCCTGAAGTGTAGTACTAATATAATTATGTTACAAAGAATGTTTTATATTAAAAATGGCATTGAAGTTTTTGAACTGTTGGGCCCATCTTCTGTTTATTCAGCTTTTTGGTGAATTTTGAAGCAATCATACAATACCCATATTATAATTATTACATATCAAGGTGTTATAAATAACAACAATCCAAACTTAGTGATTCTGGTTTATTGAATGTGAACTTAGGTTAATAATGCAATATTTATATCTTGTGTAACTGTTAGATATAAACTGCAAGTAAGCTTTATTGTGTGTGTTCTCAAACCCCCAGAACTCAAGGTTCTTTCTTAATACTCTTTCTCCTAAGATGTTCATATTTCCCCAGATACCCTAGTTTGCAGCAAACTCTAATTGATTGTCTAGGACCCAATGGAATTGGCGGCTCCTCTTCTAGAATCCTTTAGTCAGGACTTCGAATATGAACTTGAAGCTCCCTGACTTCTACTTGAGCAATCTCATCCTAGTTCAGTTATGGAACATTGAAAATACTGGAATTTTCTCTTCTGGGTTATGTAGGTCTTCCTCTGTTACTAATATTGGTTGCACTTGTTGATTATCAAGTTGGAATTCTTTTTATTTATCCAGCAAAACTTGCTCAATGTCTCTTCTCTGACTACCTTTTGGTGTGCCAATTGCCAGATTCCTCGTTCCAGTCACTTCTACCACATCTGGTTTCCACTTCTTCCCTTTCCCATAATTTTGTTAGAGTACTTTTATGCGTACCTCGAACTTCCGAGCTGGAGCAGGTTTCACTGTTCTCACCACAGGTGATGACTATGAATAAAGTGTGTCCAGTAGCATAGACTACCTCCTTCCCTTAAGACGTTCGGTTGGAGACTTCCCCGTAGATTCATATGGAAGTCATTTTCAAAGTCAGGAGCACATTGTTGATTTCCTTCTTCCACTCTTGAACTGGAGCTTCCTTCAATAAATGTTTAACTGTTGGTCCATTCTCTCTGGTACATCGGTTGTTGGATGGAAAGGTACTGACTGGATGAATTTAATCTCCAGATTTCTGAAATACTCATTTTCCTCCGCAGCAAAAAGCCCAGTTCCATTGCTCAACGCTATGGTGCCAGGTAAACCATACCTCCCAAAGATTTCTTTTAAGTGGTTGATGAGCATTTTTGCCAAAAAAAGATCCTCTGGTGTCTATCCTCTGGCCACTTGGAACATGAATGCACAGCAATCTAGAACATATGCTTGTGTATTGTCTGGAGAATTCAATGTGAATCCTTGACCACAATTTGTTAGTTTTAGACCAAGTCACCAGTTTAATTTTTTTATTATTATTATTAAAATTATGCTCTTCTCTGCAAGTTTGAAAATATGCAATCATCCACTCTATATGTCAGTCAATTCGTGGCTACCAGACAAAACTCTGAGCTTTAGTACAAGTCATCCCTTGATAATACTAGTGTAACAGACTGAGCACTTGTGGTCTGAGTTTTTGAGGCACTATTGCTTGTCTTCCCCACAAAATATACTGATAGATCATCTCTTCTGGCTTTTATTGCAATGAACGGCTTGGTGTTTGGAAGACCTTTGATTGTCCCAAGCATAACTATGCATTTCATTCTGCTCAGTTATGTCTATATTGTCTGTCTCCTCTCTTATATTCCTAGCTGTCAGTGGAGAATCCTCTGGAGCTTCTTCTAGCAATAATACCCTTGCTGGTTCCAGAATATCCTCTTTACTTGCTAGGCAACAGTAATCAACTACAAGCTTCAGCCATTGTGCAGTATTTTCCGGTTCTGTATTCCAATTTGTAGTTATATCCCCCAAGAGTACCAATGACCAATTAAGCATTCTCGGTAATCAGTTTCCCTTCCTGTAATAGCTTATAGACAGCGACTATTGTCACACTACATTCCCAGATGTATCTATGAAATTTCTTCACTCCAACAGTATGGATAGGGCTTCTTTGTCCAACTGAACATAGTTCTTTTCTGCAGCCTTCGGTGTTCTTGATCGAAAAGTTTTCAGGGCTTCTGATCCATTTGGCATCACATGTGATAGAACCGTCCATCCAAACAATAGTGCATCACATGTCAAGATCAGTGGTTTGTCTGAGGTTATAATGTGTTAAAACCGGCTTAGATAAAATTTTACCTCTTGAAAACTTTTTTCCTGTTGTATACCCCATTTGTAACCAATATCAGAATGGTTTCAGAGGTTGTATCAACTTTGATTTTTAGGAATGAATCTTTTGTTAAAAATTAAAAGGCCCAAGAATGATTCCAGCTGACTTTTATTTTTTTGACACTTGCGAATAGCCTGCAGTTTATTTTCAGTAGGGTGAGCTCTCTCTTGATCCAACCAAAATTCCGCTGAGCCTTTTGTACATTCATGTTTCCCAAGTTTTACCCATAGGCCATTCTTCAGAAGTTGTATGAAAACTACCATCAATCTCTGCCAGTGTCCCTCTTCCATCCTGTCGGTTATTAATATCTTGTCGAGATGTAATACAACTCCTGCAATTCCTTCAACAAGTTCTCCATCAACCATTGAAGCAACAACAGAGCCCATGAGATCCCAAATGGGATCTTTTAACTCTTTTAAAGTCTCTTTGTAGTGTTCATGGTGAGAATCACTGAAGAATCTTCATCCACGGATACTTGCACATGAGCCGTATCCAAATCTTTTTTGAGAACAGTTGACTGGATGCTTAAGTTGTCAGCACTTCAGTAATACTCAGTGGAAAAGTCTAGTTTGGTCTTAATTTCTGTATTTATCAACCCCTTTGTAGTCTCCACAGATGCACATGCATTCTTTTGTTTTCAGACCTGGAATCACAGGTATGGTCCATGACGACTGCTTCACTGGTTCCAAGAGACTTAGATTTTTTTATCAGAGTTGTACTGGGTTGCCCAAATAGTTCTGTAGTTCTTCAGTAAAAATACTAGCAAATCTATGTAACTGTAGTGGAACTCCATCTACATCCATTATGTGCACATTGAATAAAATCTTCAACTCCTTAAACAGTTTCTCCAACTCCTTAAACCAAATCTTCAACTCTTTAAACCAGTTTTAAAGATAGTATTATTTGCATTCAGTTTTCAGTTCAATGTTTATTCTAAAATCTTATGTTTTTCTCTGTTTTCAGTTCTTGCTTTCAACTTGTTGGCCGGGAAAATTATGATCTCAAAGACATGGAATTACTAATGACAGATGACAATAATTCTGAATTGAAGCAGGTGTACAAGAGATATGGTGTGCAAAATGTTAAAGTAAGTGAAATACTACAAGAAGGTAACAACTTTGTGAATTTTCACTTGAAAGAGTAAAATATATTATTTTATTCTTGCAAACAGGTGCCTACATACAGAAAATTAATTATGGTTGGTTGGGTTGGCAATAGAAGTGCAATCTCTTCAATCACCTTTGTTGATTGTGTGCAAAAGTACTGGGGAAAATAGTTTGTGGGATCAGTACAGTCCATGTTCTTAGGAGTATGAGGAGTTTTAAGATTTTCACTGATAGAATATATTTTTATGGGATGGATTTTTAGGAGAGGTTCTATTACATGAAATCTTTCTAAAGTGAAATTGTTGATAATTAGTTCTGCGAAACATTGGAGAAATTATTGACTTAGCTTTTATGCTACAGAGGAAGTAGTATTTTTCGGTTTTGTTGATGAGGGCAATGTCTTTTTGATATCATCAATTAGTCATGACCAGAGCTCAGATTCTGATGATCTAAAAATTATTTGCAAATGACTTAAAAATAAGAAAGAAATGTCCTAATTAAAAAAAAATACTCAAAAATTTGTATGAAAATGTTTACTTATTTAATTATTTTCACAATTTTAAATAAAGATTATTTATATAAAATTATATTGAATGAAAGTCTTTATTTTAAAAGGAAATGTAATTCTTAGCTCTGATCTTCCAACCATCTGTTTTGAAAAGTTTGAAAGGAGGAAGTCACTGAAGTGCCCTTGTAATTTCCAGTTCAAAAAACAGAGTCCACTACAGGAGTGAATTTCCTTGTGAACTGATGATACTATAAAAACATTGTTTTAATGTATCACTGTAAAATCATTAAACATTTGCTACCACAACACACAAAAAGGAAACAAAATGTGTTAAAACAACGAAAACGACGAAAAAGTACAAAAAATTTGAACTATAAATTGAAAAATGTCAAACAATGACCCAATAACTATACATTTCTCTCACCTACATGTTATGATAAACATTCATTTACAAACTAACTTTGTCTAGAATGCACCAATGAAAAGATGACATCTTCAGAATCTGAGCCCTGGTCACGATCTAAGATCCTTCATTGTGTAGATTTAATATTGGTACTGTATGAAAAACACTTACTTACAAAATATAATGTCAGTCAGGTGGAGCTTCAGGTTGGATCATAATAGAACCTAGTAAGGCACACGATAATATACACATTACATTAAATGGAAATTACTTTCCTAATTTCAAATTCATTATTTCAGCACTGCATTCCTCGAATAATGACTGCAGAAGCTTCATGGGTTCAGCTGTGGGTTTTGGCAATAGCAGCATTCATCGCAATTGGAGCTTTTCTGTCAGGAATTACTGTGTGTTGTCTGTATTCAAGGTAATCAAAACTCATAAACTTATAAATGCAAGTTTTCTAATCCAAATTTCACTAATAAGTGTTTCTTGAAAATCTTTCACTTTTTTATTTATTTACATACATTTTCTTGTTTTCCTATCCTTTCCTTTCTCCTTCATTTGAACTTGTTTAATTTTCTTCCCTATTTTTTATCTCTCTTTTCTTTTTTTTCTTATCCCCTTCTTTGCTTCTCCCTTTCCTTTCTCCTTCCCTTTAACTGGCTCCAGTTCCTTTTCATTCCCCATTCACCTCAGATCTCGTCCTTGCTCTTGCCTCCAATTTCGCCCATATTCTTGCAGCCAATCTCACCCTTGTCCCCAATCTCACTTTTCCCTCCGATCTCACCCTTGCCCTTGCACTTGTGCATTTGCTATTTTCATTTCATTTCATTTTACTATCATTACATTAAACTGTATGAGATGTATAGAGAGAACAACCTGAATAATCTGTGCATGTTTCCTTGTGACCCAAATTTCCTGTATGCTCTTTTTTATTGCACGTAGTTGAATTGTAAATAAAGGTAACTGAGCATTCTTAATTATATATATTTGATAGCAAACAATTGTATTACTAAAATTATATTCCTATGTAAACTACTTTACTAATTTCCAATGTGGGCAGAAATTGAAAGAAAACTTTGCAACCTCTGGCCACGTGAGAGGTGTCTATATTTTGTCAGGGACCCAAGAACTTGGAGAAAATACAATAACATTAGAACAGGTTTGATTTTAACTGAAAATTGCAACTATTGGATTGTGTTATATCACCTAATCTCATACTGCATCTAGCAAAATGAGAACTCAATAAAACATGCTCATTCAATCAGTTTCTTCAAGATTTTCTTATAGTACTGGTTCTACTACTTATTATTGTTTAGCAAAGGGCACTAGTAAACTATTGAAGGCTATTGAAGTAAAGTATTAATAATATCATTTATATTTTCTTAATGTTTTTGAAATTACACAAAAAATCTCAAACTTGTGCTATCTGATAATACTTTATTCTGTTGGAATAAATGCCTAAAAATGTAGTTCTAGAAAAAGGTTCTGATCATATAAATTTATCAGTAATATAATCTTTGCAATTTTGAGTCTTGTTATTAATTATATGTGTTGTAGTTAGTAAACCTGTATTGTTATCTTTTATCAAATTTACAGATACAAAAGGATATCAAGAAAGCAACTTTTGCAGGAGATGCCTCGTGCAACGATTTCCAATGTTGGGTATTTGACCAGTGCTCCCAACAGCTCTCCAATGATTGTTGGTCCTCTACCAGATGGGCCTCGAATGTATGATGGACTTACTTTGCCAATCAATCATGACAATATGTCCTACCATAGTTTTCCTAGTTAGTGAAGTTTAATGATATTAATTTGAATTGTATGACTATAAATTGTAAAATTAGATGGTATGCTGTAGTCATTGTAAAAATTATTAAAGATGGATGAAATCCATTAAACTAATTTTTACAATGGAATTCACTCAACATGTCGCATTTGACATTCACTCATTTCTGAGCATGAAGTTTTAAAGACAAGAACTTCATAACATTATATTAATTTGTTTCATCTTTACATTCAAAAATCATTTAACCATTTTATTGAATTGGAAAAAGCAGAGACTATGGATGTTGTATAGGCTATTAGGTAAAATGTCATTCATGAAATACCAAAAGTTTGTATGAAAAAAGGTTGCATGCTCTTTTGATTATCTTTTTATTCCTTATAAAGTTGGAAGATGGTTTGCCACAATTAGTTCAGGAGATTTTGTGGTGTTGAAATGTGTAAGCATATGTGTGCGGAGCCTCAAATAACAGGGGGTGGGGAGTGGGGGGATGAACTGTATATCCAGTTTGCTCTGGGCTCCCTTGTCCATTACACTTTTTTATTTAAATGCAGTGTATTTTGCTAGAAAAAAAAAAAAAACGCAAAACAAAAAGAATATCACTGTAACTTTCATGATTCTCTGGCCCCCCTACCACCCCCACCCCAGTGAGCACACCTATATGACAAAATGTAAGATTCTTTTATATCAATAATTAGTCTCAACATTTTATTTCCAAAAATCAAAGCCTTGTTTATAAAGATTATATATTTATTGAAATGTAATGATAGAAATAAAATATATTTTCTGAATTTTAATGTACATTTGAAAAATAATTTTGAAATAACAATTATAATAAATGAAAAAAATAAACATTTCCATAAAACATTTTGAACTTAACAAGAATATGCTGACAGACTAATGAAGTCCCAAAATAAAATTAAACAATTTTTGGAATTGTTCTTCCAAGAATATATGGGGTGTCAAAACCATTCTCACTGCCTTTTACAGCTTATTCCTTTGCAGAGCTTTCTTTTCTTTGTACAACATGCCTGAAAATTGTTTTTCTGCATCCAGCTAAACAGGTAACGATTTATTCAAATTTGCTGATTGTTTTACAACTGAATGCCTTTATAAGCCAGAGAAATCACAGATGGAGTGTTAAAAGAAAATCTCAAAATAGATGACACCTTCCGTGCAAATTTATTTACCAGCCAAACAACATAAAAACTCTCAATGGTGAAAACAAACCTACACAAAGTATTAAGACAACAAAGTAGAGACTGGTTGTTAGGCACTCAAAAAATCAAAAGTAGGCAGGCAAAAACACATTGTTGCAAACAGGCACTCACAAATTTTTGATTCATAATATCCTAATAATTACTGTGAAGAATGTGAATTTGAAGATCGAAAATAATGTGTTAGGAAATTATAAAAATCTTTAAATTATGTTTAATTAATAACTTATATATAAATTCATTTGGGCAAACACTACAGGTACCATTACATTACTATTCTACAACACACAATTGCCCTCTGCAGTCATTAAGCAATTATCATTGATTAAGCATGTACTAAAACTACATAAATAGAAAAGTTTTCTACTTTTAAGTTCTGTTTTCTATAAGACAAAACACTTTACAAAACAAAATTCTTTCATGATACAAGTAAATGTTAATGTGGCATTCTTAAGCAGAGCTAAAATGTTTGTATCAATATTAATTGAAACATTTTCTCCCACACAAATCATCATTGTTTTTTAAAGCTGATAGTCTGAATTATCAGGAATAACACACATTTAATTTTCTTAAAAACATAGAGTAGGGAAAGTATTGAAATGCTGCTGGAAACTAGTGGAGCTACAAAATGGCACAGACTCCTTAGTTTAATTCTAGAAAGTAACGTACTATTGAATCAAATGAAATGTACTAATAATGAACTTGACTACTTGATTAGTTACTGCACTTTCTTTTGGGATAGTGCTACCTCTGTACATTTTCCTTACCTGCGTCTCATCAGCCATCTTGTGAAGCCTAAGGCATCTGCCAGAGCCTCTTGCAATGACTTCCACTCCCCTGGGAATATTCCCAATGAAGAGCTCTCTCATACTTCCTGAACATCACACCTAAGGGGGGTCTTCAGCCTATCTCAGTCTTCTGCCATAACACATAATTTATGGCTTTGGTAGTCTGTAATCTCCTCGGTTCTTGAACCATTAATCTGGGTGTAAGGAATCAGTTCCTCAATTATGGACACAACCAGATTGTACACAGATCTTATTTATTTAATTATTAATTTTATTTATAGTTAAAAAACATGTGGGAGGAAGTGCATTCTAAGCAAAGTTACTTGAACTCTGGCATCTCTGTCCTAATTTACTTACATATTAGTGTTGAATTATGAATACAAGTATTTGTACAGGTAGCAATGAGCATTTTTGGGAACAAAATGGTATGAAAGTATTCACTTTGGTGTAATAAAAACTATTTGCAATGGCAAATCAGCTACAGAGTTTTGACTATTATCCCCAGGATTCAACTTTACTGCAGGAAGAAGATGGAAAACAATTATTTGAATATCTATGTTCTCTACAGATCTCAAGAAAACATGATATTTAATGTCAAGAAACAAATAAGGGGTCATCTTAGCATTTGGTCAAAGGATAAGGGAAGCTGGTCATTAATCCTGGGTGACGGGGTTCATTGACCGAGAAGCTGTATAATACTTATTATAGATCAATTTGGTATTTTAGAATTACAGTCTAAATGGTAACTAATATAATTAAAGCCAATATTATTTTTACTTTCCCGTATACATGCGTAAATACGGAGTAGTAGTCGTTTTGTGGCTTCCATCTAGCAGACAACTGATGATGATGGCTAAGCCATCGAAAGCTGCTTTTGAATTAAAAAACATTGTTGGCAATGACAACATCTTTAATTATTTTAAAAATGCCAAAGATATCCTACCACAACACCTATATAAACTGAATAAAACCTGTCGGTATGGCCTGAGTCGAAGCCCTGCGATTTTGAAACGTATTCATTAGTTTTGGGGGTACTTTACATAAAGCCCCACGTACAATTTCAATATTTTCTCAAAAACGGATTCAAATTTTTTCTTTAAATTTCTTGTGAGAATAGAGTAAAATATGCTTATGAAGGTGACTTAGGTAAGGTTTTCATTGATTTCTCTAAATTTTCTATAATTGCAAAATTTTGAATTTTTTCAGCGAGTTCCTACAACTACAAAATTGAACATAGAGATGTTTGCTTCAAATGAAGTTTGTTCTCCATTTCATTAACGTCATATACATTTTTTCAAAATTTTAGTGATTTTCGAGCAATATTGTTTGCCATATGTGCAATTTTGAAAAATAACAAAGACAAGATTTTCTCAAAAACAGCTGCAATTTTATCTTTAAGCTTTTGGTAGGTATCTATAAGATGACATAAATGCCATATTGCTTTATTCTTGTGTTTTTTCAAAGATTACAAAAATTTAATTTTTTGACTAGTCTTTTAATATTAAATTTATTAGTACATTTACTTACATATAAAGTTGAATTATGAATACAAGTACTAGTACAGGTAGCAATGAGCAAGCTTTCAATAATGCCATACAAAGTTTCTCGAAAACTCAACAGTTTTCTGCGAAAACTAGGTCAAAATTTCGCATTTCCAGAAAAACTCAAACGCCAATCTCTCACGCCGTTAATACGCACATTTCCGAGGATTTATAAACTTTTGCATTTGTGAGTTAAAGGCTTCAAATGAAGTTTCCGCAAACTCAAACATTTTCTGAGAAAAAGAGCTTCAAATTTCGAATTTACAGTAGCGCTTAAACGCCCGTTTTTTAAAAACGACTCAAAATTTTTCCAAGAAAATTTCCATTTATGACGAGGTTTTACTCTTCTTTAATATTCTTAAAATAATATTTCCGTCCTATTTTGAAACCGAAGTGTTGAGAAAATTTAAAAATAAATGTACTCTGGGCGGCTATAGCAGTTGACAAGACAAAGTGGCAAGTTCGAATAGCTAGCTGAGAAAAACAGATTTTTGTCATGAATCAAATCTGTTTCTTAAAGACTGATATTTAAATAAGTTCATGTTCAAGATTTCGAAAACAGTAGTTTTAGAGTAATTTGATACGAAATATAGGCAATTTTTAAAAAACATTCTCAAAATCGCTGCAAATTTTTTCTTTAATTTTTTTCATGGACAGACGAAGGGATGCTTAAAAGAATATGGCGGGTCTCATTTTCGTTGAACTATCTGAATTTTCGAAAAGAGCAAATTTAGAAACAATGCGAGGAAGTATGTGCTGTTGTCCTTTATTGTGAAATGTCGACATCACGCATTACCTCTGGGTAATGCGGGTAGTATCGGGATCAGGCAAGGTCCGACAGGACGATGACGGTGGCAAGGAGTAGGGAAAACAGCAGGCCACTCCAGGCCCGACTGGGTAGAGGATACACTGTAGAATGCAATTCTTTAACAGCACGAGTATCCATTGTATGGGTATGTTAATTTTATTGTAGTGAGCTGTTGATTCTGACACCTGACAAATATGATTACTAAGTTGAGTGTTATAGTTGCAGACGTCTGTATTGGCTGCAAATATGTCCCAGCGTTTCAGTAAGTCATTTTTGACAAAAAACACTGATTCGTAAATCAAAAGGCAAGGCAATGATGAAAATTCTAGCTTAATAAAATAAGGTTCAGACGAATTACGTAGATGAGATTTGCTTGTTATTCGTTCAAATATTTTCTGTAATCTAAAAGTCAGGAAGCTATATGTTTCCCTTGAATATTGTGCCGTTTCAGAGGCGGAAATGAACCTTTGCGAATTATTCACAACGAGCAGTATCAGTATTTTGTAACTCGCAGGGATTTGAGCTAGTTCCAATTGACCGGGAACTATTCATTTTCGCTTCATTCCTACCAGTAACACAGGCGTTGGTGCTGTACACAGACGGCTGTGTTGAACATTAGAAGTGCTACAACAGCACATTTGCCTTACAGCATTATTGGGAACGGGTTTGCAATATTATATTTCAATTTCTGTCCTACCTACCTCTTGATCCATCACTTGCAAAAGACAAAACCAATTTAAACGAAGCGCCTTCTGCGGTACATATCTGCAGTTAGTTCGATAATCAGGAACAGCAGTCAGTTCTACTCCTACAAAAGAAAAGTCCACGAATAAATCTCAACTATTACAGTATTGCAACACATTATAAGGACTAGCAACGATAATTTCACAAAGGCTAGTCTTGATTAGATCGAAGTGAGCTCATGATTTTTGAATAATACAATAATCAGCGATCAAACTTTTATTAAGTAAAACAAGTGTATGCCTATAAATTAAACATCCAGAACTGAAGTCCATAAAATATATTGCCTTATAAATGCATAAAAATAAGGTTACAAATCTATATCATTTTATCAGTTAAATACACAGTAAAAGTAATCGTGCACATTACAGCAATATATAATGCCGCTTAGAGACTTAGAGGTAAAGGTGGTAATTTAAATCAAGTTGAGCCCCCTTAGTGTCTGTTCATACATCATAAACAATCTGGCAGAAACGATTTTGACTACTAATTTAGTAACTCCTTTTGCCATCATAGGTCTGTGGGTCAGTTGTGAATGACAGCTGATGAGTAACAGGTATTCGTGTTTTCTAGGTTCTAAAAACTTCGAAAGGTACCTAAGTCATTGGCTTTTAATCACAGTTTGAGTACGCTTAGACCAATTCTAATTTCTAATGAATGAAATGCAATATGTTTGAAACATTGTTTTTATGACCGAAATCTGTAATTTCAAACGTAACGAAGACCAGTTTTGGTTTTCAGAATTTTAATACGGCGATAGTTGTAA